GTAAGAATTAATGCTGTCATTATTAGTCTGACTCCAATATTTATCACATCTAAGTGCATTTCCCATAATGATTTGCTGTTCTTAAACCCGAACCTGCCTACAGCGCTTACTTTTTGTTAGCCTGTAAGCAAGTAAGGATGTGTTTTTGACCTTTCTGAAGTATATAAATGCATGGATATGTTTAGACTTGTATCTGCCCTTTTACAGCTTGTTCTAGAAATAAAAGCAATGTCTCTCTTTCAGTCTCCCTCTGTATAGCGAGCACACTCTGTTTAATGGTCTTCTACCATAATGCAGGCCGCTCTTTAACTTTTCATCACCTTTTTCTGCATTGACACGGGTGCAGTGAAACAGATGAACACACCCGTTTCTCGCTCCTCTATTCATTCAGAGCTGTAATTGTGTACGTGTGTGTTTTGAGGACAGGCCCCTCAGGGATGGTTTGTCTATGTGTTAATGGGATTTATAAATATATAACAGGTTTTTACCTTTATATAGTATTACAGATTAATACTCTTACATGGCCTGCTGTACCTTTTCATTTGATTTTAGTTTTTTTCATTAAAAGGCCTGTTAACCCAAATATTGAGAACTTGAACAAAACTGGCTTGTTTGTGGTTTCTTCTTTTGATTAAGAATTTTTTTGAGGAAAGACATTCGTTTTTCTTTGTGCTTTGGTAGCAATCTGTTGTATTCAATCATATGAATTGTCCATAATTTAACCTTGGTGGACGTTTTTATCTTGGACTATAATTTGTGACAATTTTTCAGTTTCCTTTTTACTTCTGTTGATTCACACATTGAAATTCGTAGCATTACTTTAATATATTTTTAGCATCTTAACAGGATACAAAATGGGAGATTGTTAGGTAAAATGATCGCACACTACTTCAGTAATGTTGATGTCCGGGCTCTCCAGAGGCCCATACATGACTGATAATGTTCTATCTTGTGTGTTTTTCTATCCAGGTTTGTTTTCACTGCGTTGGCAGTGTGTTTGGGATCTTTGTCATGCTGCAAAATTAAGCTTTTTTTTTTTTTTTTTCCTTGTGGGTCAAAATCTGATGATACTTTTCTGTGTTGATAATTGGATCAATTTTAACAAGAAATGCAGCTTCACACCACGACATGGCTTTCACCGTTTTTTTTACAGATGGATGTAGACACTGATTATGGTTTTGATTCATCACTGCATTCCCTTCCTAGAGAATGGCTGCTTGACAGCTGCCCGATGCATCTCCTGTATCATATAAGTCCTGCATCAGGTCTTATACGATGCTGGATACATGTATATGAGTTTAAGATATTGTTCATCGGCTGTAGATAATTCTTTAGCTCATCCTTCCATTTTTCCATTTTTCTCAGTATTTTCTAATAGCTCTTTAGGAATCATGTTGTTGGTGAAAAAATACCGTCTTGGGCTGTGTTATCTTTGTTTTGTTTTTTTCATAAGTTCAACCAAAGAAATGGGAACAAAGGAAGTGTTTTATTGGCAGGCTAGTAACAAAGTGCCTCAAGATAGAATTTTAGAAGTGATTTGTTGCTAAGTTGTCTGTGTGTAAACAAATCGCTTCATCCCTCGAGTTACGTGCCTTTTTAAAGCTTGAATGATTCATATGTCTGCGTTAAATAGTTTAACAACAACAAATAATTTCTCTGATTGAAAATGAGTGAAAAAGTAGCCAATGTACCAAGAAAAGGTTTGAAAGTTCTTCAGAAAGCCTGGAAAACTATTACCAAGATCACTTTAAAAAAATTATAACAAAATCTGGCTCCCTGGAAGCAAATTACAAAGGAAAAGAGGGTGGTGCAAGGTTTTTGCACAGTACTTTAGTGTAACTGGGTTTGCACGTATCTGTACACGTAATTCTGCTACAATCAAAGTGTTGTTTTGCATGCAGAGGTACTGATTAACTGAGGTAGAGAAGGCTAATGATAAATTAAACAACGAAGTGCAGTGAAGAGAAAAAGGAAGGTGCCAGTAGGTTAATCAATTCCCCTGACACATTCTTTAGCTATGAGACATGAGTTTCAGTAATGAAGCACGGCTTGCATATCACCACTCTTGTTGTCTTGCACACCCACAGACACACAGGTTCATGTTATTTGGGGGGGGGGGAGGATGAGCATGTATTTTTTTAAAGGGGATTCGCACACAAAACAACTGAAAAGCAACCTCACCCACGTGTTTTGTGCTTGCATTTATTTGTCTGCGTTTTGGGGTGTTTTGACGTCAGTGCTATTTTACAAAGCACCGGCATGCTTCCTTGGCTAATCTGAAGTGTCACTTGGTGCCGTTTGGCATCACCATGTTACAGCGTATGCCCAGCTCTTATGACACCAACGCAATAATCGTGTAAAGGGTTTGTGTTTTGTCAGTTGTTAACTGTCCATGAAGCAGAAGCTCAGGATGGAACAGTGCAAACTGAAGTCGCACACGTAATACATTTTGATAGGTTTTTTTTATACGGTGACTGGGTGAGGGATGTGCCGTGTTTAGAGGGATCACCACGTAACATCCAACACAGTGTTTTACAGGCCCGCACTCAAAACCACAATGCACCACTCTGATCCCTGCCATCACATGCCAAGTCCGAAATTTCAAAGAGAAGGGGGGGTTAAAATCAACACAAGCTACACATGAACTCTTATAACACACAGCCCGCGCACACCTTTCCTCTCTTCAGTTATTGCTCAGCCGTTTCACTCTGTGTTTGTGCAGCTCTCTTATAATTCTGGATCATGCTTACTCTTGGCTCGGTGCAAAACTCAGCTTGGTACCCCCCCCACCCCAGTACCGTTGTGTTGCTTTTCCACTTGCACCTTTCACTGGATGTGCTGTGCTTTTCCATTGGCTGTGTTGATGTTGAGCTTTGCTTCTTGTACTTGTCGTTCTGAACAGGACATCACACATGTACATGCAAGTCCATATTCATTTTTCACTCTCCTTTGGGACACGCATTGTAAAGTTTATGCAAATTTCCACAATTTCTTTTTGTACATGTACAATGACAATAAAGGGCTATTCTATTCTATTAACATCCATATTAATAATCTCCAAGCACCTCTGGAAACTGCTTCACTTGGACTTACCTTAAAACTGAGAGAAGTTATCACACATCCTTTTTTTAATCCATGCTGTATCGAGCACATTAAAGACACAATGTTAACACAAACACTCACTCAGACATGGTCCTGATCACTGTCTCCCTTGCTGCTATCACTAACCATTTGCTGTTGCACCGGTGCTTGCTTTTTTCTTTATTATTATTTTGCTGTTTTTCTTTTAATTAATTTTTTTCCCTTGTGTTCATTGTAATCATGACCTCTCGCTGTTTTAATTTCAGATTTGCATATCCACTTCCACTCCTTCCTCATTTGCATACAGCAAGAATGGCGAGCGGGCATCCCACAGACAAATTCAGTTTCATGTATCAACCAGACACGCACAAGAGGTACGGGGCACGCATGCACACACACTTACATGCGCACACACACACGAAATTTCGTAGGCCTGTATTCACAATGAGCAGGTAAGTGGAAATGAAGAGCGTGCACTTGAAGTCTTCTACGGTGTGGAGAAGGATGCCTTATGGGTCATTATCTGGCACCTTCAGCCTGACCATTTTCTCCAATCTGAATTGATTACTGGCCCCGTGTCTGGAAAAACCCAGAAGGTAGCGCCTTGTTGGTGCAGTGGTGGGAAAATAAGGCAGGTAGCAGCATTGAACCAAAGCGTTCTTTTTCAATTGATCCAAGCATTCTTGTGCCTTTGAGTCAGAACTTGTGCATTTTTCTTTTAAATCCAAGCAGTTTGTGTTTTTAAGTCCATACTTATATTGAGCCTGCTTTGAGGTTGGGGAGTCGCAGGGCTTGATTTTGTTGCATGCCAGCAAAATCCTTCAGCTGGATGCCGCTTTAAGAATCTGACTCTGGGATTATGCGTGTGGTGAGTGTGCTTGATAATGGTAACAATTTTTTTTCCAGTTTACATGGCTTATGTCTCTTTTCCCCTCCATTTTCCCCTCCTTGTCTTTTCTTAACTCTCTCTCTTCTGTTTTCCACTTTTTCTGTTTCTTTCTCTCTCCTAGTAAGAACAGGTTATCTTCAGCTATGAATCCAGTCTACAGCCCTGTCCAGCCTGGAACTCCATATGGAAACCCCAAGAATATGGCCTTCACAGGTAAGATGTCCACAGACGTACAGGTCTGCCGTCTTCAATACTGAATACCGAGGTTTAAGCCAGTTGAGATATGCCTAACAGAGTTCTGATAGGACAGAAATGCTAATATGACATTGTATTCAAGTTTGTGCAAAAAAACATTGTTTCTATTAACATCCCTACCAGTGACTCCAGCAATCAATTATGCAGTACAGTAAAAAATCTAATTATATGCTCTCTTGTGTATATACACTTACTGGCCACTTTATAATAGAACTTGTTTAGCTGCTTTTTTTTTTTTTTTTTTTTTTTACAATGACTACATGTCATTGTTAGGATAACCTGTTGAAGTTCAAACAAAGCATCACAATGGATGATTTAAGTAACTTTGAACATGGTGTGGTTGTTTGTGCAGTCTGAGTATTTCAGAAGCTGCTGATCTACTGGGATTTTCCCACACAACCATCTCTCACGTTTACAGAGAATAGACATTTGGCATCAACAAGACATGAACAGTGCCTCCACAGCCACCAAATCTCAGTCTTGTAGAGCATCTTTTGGGATGCGGTGTAATGGGATTGCATCATGGACGTGCAGCTGACAAAATTGCAGCAACTTTGTGATGCTGTCATATCCATATGGGTCAAAACCTGAATGTTTCGTTGTTGAATCTGTGCTACAAATGCAAAGGGAGCAAAGTGCACCTAATAAAGTGCCCAAGGAAGTGAGTTTGCAAGAAGAGATAAAAGGAAAGAGACAAAAATATAGGCCATTGTTAATCTTGGGCCTCAAAGGTTATAATAGTTATAAAGTTATAGTATACTGAAATACTGAAGTGAAAGCTACTGATCTATATATATTTTTAAGATGGAACTTTTAACTCTTGTGCCCATTTTTATTTTTGTGATAAAACCAATACATGATTGAATGCATTCAGTTAAAGGGGAAAATCCAACTTGTGGTGTTAAAGTTGGATCGTGGCATGCATGTTTAACTGGAGTGTAGCAACATCTGTTGTGTTAATGTGTCATCTGATTCAGGACTCTTTAATTGGTGCTTATGATGAACTGGCAAGAAGCTGTTTCTTTAATATAACACTGAATTGTAGTGTAAATGCAGATTTTGCCACTTTTTTTTTTTCTTCAAAAAAGGTGAGAAATTTAAAAAGAAAAAAAAAAGTTTATTTTAAATCTTCATGATTTCTGTTTGGTTTGGTTTTTTTCCTGACCAGAAACACATCCTCCAAATCTGAAATAAAAACAATGAAGATTGATGACTTACTATTTTCTGATTTTTCCAGAACCAATCTGTAAATTTTTGAGTGCTCATTATGCTATGCTTTAATTTTATGCATGCGTGTGTCTGCTGTGTTGTTAAATTAAAAAGTATTCTTTGCATTAGCATGAACGAAATAAACACGGGATGTTGTGTGATTGTGATTAACATCTCGACCGTCTTATAACTGCGTTTATTGGAACTGTTACATCCGACCGTATCTCAACCTACAGCAGCCAAAGCTCGATATAGCGGAGGCTCACGGCTACAGAACAGATCTGCGAGACTGTCTGCCAATAATAGCAAAGAGTGAGGAGAGAACAGCACTTAGCTCGCTTACACTCCCTCTCTTCACTCTGTGCTGCTTTTTTTTCCCCCTTTTACTTCCATCGTCTTTGTCTCGCCCTGTCGAACCTGCACCTTTTTATAAGGAGAAGCTTTTTCGCAGGTCAGATTGACTTTTTGTTCGCTCGACACGTAATTTATGACGCACGGGAGTATGCGTGGTGCATGCGTGCGTGCATCCCTCGCACGTGTCTGCAGGCATTGCTAATGTTTCTGAATTTGTCTCTCCTCCCACACCATATTGGCAGGTGTGTCCCGTCTGCCAAATTGGTGTATGTAAGACGCATTCAGCCAACTGTGTTATTGGTGCAGACATTTTTTTAATGAGCGCCATCTGTGCACATCCTGCTTCAAACCAAATACTCCCCTACCTGTGTGTCTGTGTGAATAAGTGAGCGGGTTGGGGAAAGGAGGGGGACTTCAGTTGTGCGTGTCTGCGTCCCCTCTGCTTGATGTTAAGGTTTCTAATATTTTCTGTCTCGCCTGTGGCGTCTTGCAGGCTATCCAGGGGGGTATCCTGCTACAGCTCCTACCTACACCAACCTGTACCAAACAGGCAGTCCTGGGTATCCACCAGGTAAGCTCTACCCTCCTTCCCATACACAGAGAGCTCATATTTAACAAGGTAATATCTTGGGAGAAATTGTCAGTTTAGAGTAATTTTCAGAGTTAATTAGAGGGCTCTTTCTCTTTTTCTAAGAAGAATAAAGGATAATTGCACTACAAGGAACCATTGAAGTTTGTGTGCGCGATGCAAGACAAACACTGATGAATTCAGACAAATCATTATCATGCAGCTACAAGTATTAAGCTACTAGACTGTTTTCTTCTGCCTGCCTTTGCTGGGTTGATTTATTTGCCTGGTTCTGCCAGAGGTTTCTTCATGTTAAAAGGGTTTTTTTTCCTTCCCCCTATGAGCGAGCAGTTAGTGAGAAGTTTGTTGGTTTTTACTCTGTATTATTCTAGGGTCTCACCTCATAATATAAAGCACCTCAAGGCGACTGTTATTGTGATTTGGTGCTATATAAATGAATTGAATTGAATACAAGATTAGAATAGTTAAAACATGAGAAACGATTTATATTAAGGCAAAGCAACGCAGAATGGAAAATAGACAAATGCTTTTACAAATAATTTCTGTCATGCTTCATTTGGCTCCCGAGTAAGTAACAGTAACATCGACCAGGCTCAAAATACAAGGCAGCCACATCACATCCACATGGTTGTGATTGTTTAACAACACTAATGATTTTATCAACTTGGGAAAGTAAAATACAAAATATGGAGAACATATATGTAGTTTTAGTAGTTTAGTAAAAAAAAATGGTATTCTAAGTTGCCCGATGAACTACTGAAGGGCATGTTTACTGAGACTCTGAATGTCTACATGACTGTGTGTGCATTAAGTCAACACGACGGTCTCACACCAGTTTATTAAAAGCTTGTGACATTTCAATTTTTTTTGTTCCTGACCACAGTTTCCTCATATCTACATGTAAACAAAGTAGAAGATTTTTTTTTTGTTCTAAGAGAACTACATGACTACATTTTTGCCACTCATGCTATTTTTAATTCAGTTTTATTTATATAAAATCAGTTCATCACAACAGCAGCCAAGAGGCACTTTAACTTCCTTAATAAAACTGCTCTGTTAAGTTTAGCCAGTAAAAGAACTTCAATCATTGTTTGGGTCAAACTACAACCGCTGCCCCTTTTTTCTTTTTCTTTGTTTAAAGACTTGTTGGTTGTCAGGGTGATGCGTCCTCGCTGAAAGCCTCACGACAGCATACGAGCTGCAGGCTGCTCAAAGCATAATTCCAACTGAAATACAAGAATTTAAGAGGAATGCTGACTTTAATGGCAAAAAATGTGACAATTCATGTCCGTGTGAATAAAATAAAATTAAAAAAAAGTCTTTTCTCTCGTTTTACCACGAGACCAAGCTGGTTAGGAGTGGTTACGCCCACACGCAGAGTGAAGCAGCACAAAGAAGAGAAACTAACATGACTTAAAATGACAGCAAGATTACAGGAGAGAACCTCACACTGAGGTGGAGTTAAATGGGTACATAAATTCACAAGCCTTCTTTTCCTAGCATACGTGCTTTTTCATCCCTGCATTGGTGAATTTGAGTCCAGTGCTATTACTGTTCCTGGTTTGCTCGTTGTGAATTCTGCCGTGATGCAGAAATGATCATTAAAAACTCAGAACCGAGTGTTTGTGAAATGCCTTGAAAAGCCTGAACGAACTGCGCCTCCAATTTATCTTAATAATTTTCAGAAATGTTTTTATCTTCCTGATGAGTAATCTGTAACCGCGCAGTCTGGCAGCTGAGTAATGTGATGGTGTGAAATGAAAGGTAGTCAGTGTTAAGGTTAAGGTTGTCTAACACTTAATGTATTGAATAAATTACACACTGATGACATTTTAATTTAAAGAGGATCCATCACTGCTACTGCGGCACTGCAGCGCTGCGTAGAGATGCAATGAGTTTGTCCGTTTATGATGCGTGTTTAACCTAAAGCAAATACAGTTTCCTACATATTTAATGGTTATCAGAGTCACGTGCGGTTACAATTAAGTTACGAACCAAACCATGCTCATAAAAATTGACGGAGCATTACCATCACTCATGCAGTTACAATGTTGTTTAGAGCTGCACACAGACTCGAGTCGTTTAAAGGCAATATGAATTAAGTGATGATCTCAGCCTAAAGGGGCATTAATGGCGAAGGAGTGGGAAGCTAGCCAGTAGCAGCTGCTAGTGCCCATATAGCAGCAAATGCGTGCTCTGTTGGGGTTCATTGTGTGGTCCCCTCAGCAGATGGGACTACAGTTGTGCTTTCCTGATATGCATGTATAGATGGTTTAGGTTTGGTGATTGCAGGCTTTCTTGTAGTCCAAGCGTACGAAAAAAAACATTTATTACATTGTTTGAAAGCATTAAATTCATCGTTCTGCTCATTCGGGATATCAATTTTTCAATCTTGTGCAGATTTGTGGTAATAAAGGTAATTATACAGTAATGCAATTTGATCTGATTGGGGGTAGGCGAGGAAGGAAGTCTACAAGGATTGCTCAACGTTGAGCAATTAAATAAAAAGATTTAAAAAAAATAACCAAAAGAGTAGGAATGGTGAAATGAATGGGACTGATACTGAGCTCAGGGAAAAATAAATGATTTGTAGTGTCAGCAAGATGTTTTTATTTAATGGAGTCTTTGAACGCATGCATTGTTACTGAATTCAGAGATAATGATGTGTTTTTATAACAGCAGTAAAGATGTGATATATAATCATGCAAGAATCTATTGATTGCTTTAAATGTTGATTAAAATACCTTTCAGAAAAAAAATGCTACTGGATGTATGGATTAAATTTAATTTCCTCAGCAGGGAGCGAAGATAGCGACTGAAATTGTTTTCTATTGTCTTAAATATTGAGTGTGGTACTCGAGCAGAGAGGGTGGGGGTTGTACTTTTCATCTGTGCCGCTTTTGAAGCTTCCTCCCCTTGTTCCCTCCCTGAGTTTGTTTTCCGTCTTTTGGAAGTCTAACCAAATATCAGGTATGCTTTGGCAAAGCTCTGTCAGCTTTGTTCCAGCCGAAACCCGAGACTCATTATCAGGGTTGTTTTGGTTTGGGTTTTTTGTTTTTGTTGTGTGTGTGTGTGTGTGTGTGCTTGACTGCAGATATCTTACCCTTTACTCCACAGTGGTTAATTTATGGGGAAATTAAAATGTTTAGATTTTGTATCAGTGACAACAATGAATCGGCCAGACAAGCCAGCCTCCGTCTGATTAGAAAACGTGTCTTGGTCATTATTTCTCAAGACCGCTGAGGAGACAAAGTGTTTTCTATCAGCAGGGCTTTTGTGTGATTGTCACGCACCATTGTCCTTTAATGCCCTGCATGCATGTTAGTGCAAAGAATGAATGTGAGAGCATGTGTGCGTATACACACACACACACACACACACACACACACACACACACACACACACACACACACAGGCTTTTAGCCACAGAGCAGCTCCAGCATCTCTTTGTTCCCTTGTCCTTGTGTGAGAAAAGCGCTTTCATAAGCTCCACAGCAGCAGCAACTAGCTAGTAGCATGTTTGACCTTCAGGCTCCTCCAGGTGGCGGCTCAGAGGTACTACACCCCCAGAGATCAGAGCGGACATGAATGCAGCGGTCTGAGCCAGATTCCTTTACTGTCCCCAACGTCATGCTTTTCATCCAGTGACGTAGCGTCAGCTACAGGGGGGATACTATGTGAAATGATGTTGCAGCTCTGCTGTGGTTGTTGGTTTCAGCGTATACTGCAGAATATAATCTGTGAAAAAAACCTGAAAATACCTCACATACAGTCAGTAGATGGCTTTTTCAATACACAGTGCAAAGCCCCTATCTTCAAAGCTCGTGCTTAAACTGGATAAATATACATAAACTGTCAGCTTTATTGTTTCGATATTCAAATCCCATAAAAAGATGGCAGTCGTCCCCATCTGGTGGATTTTATAGGAAATGCAAATAATGAGATGTGAGGACGAGTGCTAAAAGGGTGAGTCTGTACTCTCTTTGGTTGCTGCTGCTCCCCCTAAACATAGAAACACACACAACAATGAAATGTTTAAGGTATAGAGTTACTCATAAAAACCCAGTGTGAGAGCTCAACTGACTAAAGACAGTGTGGAGAATTCAATCTCATTATTCTAATGTGTTATTGATGTGTAAATAAGAAACTCTCCTAGATTTAAGAAGACCTCTTCTTGGTGAGCTGGTAAATTTATGTTGTATTTCTCTTTTCTTTCGTTGTATAGGATATACTCCAGCAGGAACTCCATACAAAGTGCCCCCCACTCAGTCAAATGGAGCCCCTCCTCCTTATACTCCGACCCCTACCCCGTACCCGACAGCTATGTACCCCATCCGCAGTGCCTACCCTCAGCAGAACCTATACACACAGGTGAGGATGTCTGGAGTGGCGTGTGTTACTTTAACAGTGAAAAATGTTGATGGGGTTTGTTGCTGCAGCTGCTCGGCTGCCATAACCGTTTAACGCAGCCACTCCAGTAAATACATTTGTGCTGCCTGCTCAGTCTGCGTCGTTTTACTCTGTATTAAAAACAATTAGGCGAAGCGGTTTGTGACAGTAAATGGTCTGTCACATGGCTGTTGATTCTCCTCGTTTAAATTCAGAGCACTTATCATGTTCATAGGTAGCTTCTGTTCTGCAGAATTGGACTGTTGAGTGAAAAGCGCATTTCTCCAGCCTACAGGGACACTGTTTGGATACAGAACATGTCACTCTCTACCATCAGCGAGGGCTAAAGAACCCTCTCTTTATTTTCTAATGTCCTTAGACAACCGTGACCTGGATGAATGAAAACACAGACATTTGACGTTGGCTGATTTTTGTTATGGCACACTTTAGCCGGTAGTAACACGCTTGGTTATCCAAAAATGCGGGGAAATAAACATTCGCTATTATTAAATTAGAAAACCGATTGAATTGAGCTTGGTTTTGAGATTCAGTCGCACACAATAAAACAACAATAAGGCAATCATGTTGTTGTTTTGTAATTTGGTGCTTTGAAAAGTGCAGTGGAAAGAAGAGACGGCTTCAATTTCTGTCCATTTCAAAGTATTGTGTTTCAGTCTGTTTTGCTTGTTCTTGTAATGCAAAATCACTTGAAGTTTCTTCTGCTAAGATGTTTTGTAATCATTGAAGGTTTTCCGATGTTTTGTCCTGACAGGGAGCGTACTACACCCAGCCAGTGTTTGCCGCTCAGCCACATGTGATCCATCACACCACCGTGGTGCAGCCTAACAGCATCCCCTCCACAGCCCTCTACCCGGCCCCTGTTCCTGTACCTGCTCCTCGCAACAACGGCATGGCTGCCATGGGGATGGTAGCTGGGACAACCATGGCCATGAGCGCAGGTATGAAAGCAACTGTGAACTCTTTCCATGTGGGCCTAATATGGTACCAACATAATAACTGTTCTTCACTCTCGACCATAATTTGTGATGGCTCTACTGGAGGAGACACAAATCCCTTTGGAGCTGTGTCAGGAGGGCATCTGATGTGTTTTTTTGTAGTAATATTATTATTACGGCACTGATGAAAGCTTTTGAATTTGTTTGCTTAAAAAAAGCTGTAGCATTAATTAAAGGATCCTTTTCTTCATCTTTGCCCCGAGAAGGTAAAGAAAAATGAAAATGTGTGATTTTGTTGCCCACCTGTGATGGGTGAAAGTGCAATAGCCCTGATAGTATCTGTGAAGATGGTGCAGGCCAATGCGTGTTGGTGTATTTTAAATGTTTTTAGCAAAGACCCTTTGTCACCTTTTTAGTCCTACCTTAAGTCCCTGGACTTAAAAAAACATTTTATTCTTTATTTTATTGCCTTTTTGCTGCAAAAAAACAAAAAGAAGTGCATGATTGGTAGATGCAGCTCAGGTACAAATTGATTTTGCATCCTTGGTGGTGTTTTCTTTGTGTAGGGACTCTGCTGACAACGCCACAACACCCCCCAATTGGAGCACACCCAGTTACTGTGCCAACCTACAGGCCCCAAGGGACACCTGGGTACAGCTACGTACCGCCTCACTGGTAGAGCCCATCCATCATGTAAGTATCTCCCCTCCTGATGTTTCAGATCCTCCTCTTTAAGATGTTTCTGTGCTCCATCTGGTGGTTCCTCCTTTTCTTCCCCTCCTCTCCACCTTTTCCTTTCCTCATCTCATCCCCGTCTCTCTCGACTTTAACAAACTGCGCTGCCTCGCCATTTTTTCCCCTTCTTCCCTCAGAGGTCTGAGGCAGTCTTAACTCAATCACCTATGTGTTCCTCTGCTTTTCTTTCCCACCAGATCTGGAGTCCACCATCGTATGCAACTGCTCGAATCTTACCGCGAGCTCCCGTCAGTAATCACGGGAACTCTGCATCTGTCTGCAAGAACAAAACTAAAGTGCAACAGCCACTTTACTATCATTGTTATTGTGCGACATTCTCTAACATTTTTACAAAAGCTGCTTTTTCTTTGTTTTCTTTTTCTTTTTTCCTTTTCATCTGCCAACCAATCATTATCTTATTTTGTATTGTTATTTTATTTCATTTCCTCATTTTCCTTTGCTGTGTCTGTCATTGGAACTCCAGAAGGACTCTTGACCAATCACGGGTGTCGAGCGCTCCTGTTACTGTGTTGTGCTGGTGTGTGTATGTGTGCGTGCGTGTGTGTGTGTGTGTGTGTGTGTTTCTGCCTGCTGCAACTCAGCTGGCTGGAGAATATTGGGCACTTATTCTTCTTCATCTCCATTGGTCACAAAGACTTATTGACTTATGCTGCCAAATTTTTTAATGACTAGATATCAGCACAGGGTTTCAACACAACTAGGATTTTAGTTTTACAGATTGTTGATTTTTAATGTTCCTTCTTTTTGCTACACTCAGATGAGTTACCTTACTTTGCAGTCTCTCCCCCCAAATTCTTCCTCATCCTTTTTCAGTTTGATCTCGGTCGTCTTCCAGTGTAGCTGTGTCCAGCAGTAGTTTGTCATCCCGGTTGTTACGCCTCCATAGGAGTGCTATGAGCACTGACCAGCCATCACCTGTAATGCTACGCCTCACATTTTTTTGTCTGCTTTAGCATTGTACCTAGTACAAACATCATGCTACATACTATGCAGGCTAGTATGTTGCAACACTATCAAAATTTTATCCTAGCTATAGAGGACGTTCCTGGGTGGTTTGGGTCATGTCAGCTTTCTTTCCGTGGTTAGAGTAGGTAAGTACATTTAAAACCTTAAAAAAATACAGCTATACTAACAGTGACAACAGCTTGGATGGTCGTGCACACTTTCTGACACACACACACACACACACACACACACACACACACACACA